GAACCAAAAAGCCTCTGAGGTCAAGTAGACTTTGAAAATGCTTATCATAGGGGGGAAAAAAAAAAAAAAAAAAAAAAGAGTAGATTGCTGTTCTTTGGAACTTTTTGTGTGCATAAAGAAGGAAACCTCAGCACAAGAGGGAGGGGGAGAGATTTTCAACAGCACGACATAAACCAAAATAAGCAGTCCAAAAAACTGAGAGAGGCCTACGGAAGTGGCAAACTATTTAATTTAAACAGGAAGATGACTCAAAATTTCTCCTGGGCTGGATTTGCAGTTCTGCATGTGTTGGTAAATTGTAAAATTCCCGTGGGATTTATGTGTTATTTTGAGCCACTGCTTCTATTGTATTTTATATTTGGCCTTATTTTTGCAAGAATTCTTACAGGTCTGATCATACAGTGAAAGTTACCTATCTGTAGATATCTGATATTCTCACAGATATGAGGAAGACAGTTAACAAACTCAATAGATATAATTTTCACACTGCTTTATAAAAGGTCCTACGTGAGAATCTTGATTTTTTTTTTTTTTAAAAAAGGGGGTTTTGCCTGCTTATTTTTCCTATTCAGACATGAAGTTTAAGTAAGGTCTAAAGTGAACACCTAGAATAATTAGCTTCTGACGTTTCATTTTATTGACATTTATTGGCTACCTAAGGGAAAGGAAAAGCTCCAATGTATGGATTATGCAGTAGATGGGGTCACAGGTTTTACTTTCACCTTGACATTTACTCATTGTAGACAGTGGATCAACTACTTAGACAAACATTCTCCAGCTTTAAAAGTTCAGTCTGAAAACCTATGACACAGCTTTCGTGTGTACTGAACACCAACCTTTTTCATTGATCCTACATGAGAGAGGGAGGTACTTAGCACATTTGCAAGTAATCAAAAGGTATCATGTAAAACTGAGCTCATACGGCAGCATTCAAACTGAGAGGAATTGTTAACAGTTCTACTTCATTCTTCAAGGCATTACCCACGCCTTGTTCTACAATTACTGTTCCATTGCCTGAATATCTTCATTTTGAAAAATGACATTAGGGAAATACCTATACATGCACATCACAAATCATTTCCCATCGATTTTGGTTAAAAGCTAGCAAGTCTGCATAAATAGTTGTCTTTGATGCCCTCTAACAAGCTTAAAAGCAGTAATAACCAACTCAAACTGCTAGAAATGACTGTGCATGTCAAATGCCTGATGGCTGATCATATCTTCTGTGTAAGCATTTATTTTTGTTACCTTGATCGCTGGAATGGGCTTCTTCGGAACGAAATGCTTTTTCTCAGGAAGCACAGCAGCCATGCTCTGTTCCTTCAGTTTAATCTTGTTCTCAGCTATTATCTTTCTGCGTTGTTCCAGGTAAGGCCCAAAACTGGGTAGTTTCTGAAACAAAAAATCAGGAAACATGTTTATGCATGATGAACGGGTGGAGCAAAAAGGTGAGTCCGATCCCAAGGGTGAGGTCCTAAGTCCTTGCTGAGTGCAACTCGCTTCTCATTCAGGAAGCTGAATTTGAAATCAGTGAGACTGTACCAGAGCAAGAAGTGAATAAAAATCAAATATGAACTTCAGGATCTGACTTGAAAATATATATTGAATATTAAAATATTAATATACCACAGCAGAAAAATAGCTGAATTGCAGGTCAGCATCCAACAGTCTTATATTTCCCCATTGCATACTTGCTTATGTATAAAAATGTATCATGTTAAATAATTCAAATGTGTAAGTTTATTTCTGTAGTATGTGGAAAGGTATCATAAAAATATCAGTTTACTTAGAAGGGTTCCACCAGTGTTTAAGGTTATTTGTATGGCTATCTAAATATATCAATCTGTATTTTGAAAGCTCACAAACATGTATTTTGCATTCTGATAACAGAAGGCTGTCTTGACCTGTCAAAGTAAGGCTAACAAACACCAAATGAACTGAAACACATTCTAATCTCCTAATTTACCTCTATGTCCCACTTGCAGCCTTTTCTGCAACATTTAATCCTTGAACCCAATTAAGCAAACTCTAGAGGAGGATTTCACTGAATTGCAGAACCCATGCCTCACCCAAGAACATGAAAGCGCTGGTTCAGATTTCATTAAACACCCAGCTTCCTGAAACAAAAAGTCCCTCTGCTTACCTAGCAGAGACACGGACAACTCTCATTTGCCACAATCACAGATTTAGGTAAATGAAAAGTAGTAGACAACATGGATTTTTGCTTGATGCAAAAGACCATGCCCCTCCTCCCCTGAAACTGGTTCCTTATTCTGCAAAAGTATTTTATCCACCTAACTAAACCCTGTTCAGAAGCTACTCCAGAAACTAGCAGGTAGTAACAGGGGATACATAGCCTCAGCAGTTGCTGGCATTAATTCACGCTAATAATACAACCTCAAAGAGCATATCGAACAAGATACGGTACTGCTGTGGTTATCAATTTTTTAAGAGGGAATTTCAATGTGAATTTTAAAACCAGAATTATTTAAAAATTTAGAAATTATTATTTTTTAAAATGAAGTAAATCCAGAAGAGGCTACCCTGCTCTTCTGCTAATCCTTAGGAGAAAAATTCCTCAATGAGCTCTGTCAGTCACGATACCCAATCTTGGGACCTCAGGCTTCTTGTTATGACACATAAAAGCTTTCTCGGCTGCGAGGTTTTCAGCACTCTGAGCATACAGCCAGAGGGTGAGGTCCTTGAAATGCTTCCCTGCTTCCGAGACTTGGTTTGTGGCCTCAAAGCATTTTTAACTTCAAGTCAGAACAAGACTTGCAGTCTCAGGGTGCTTTCCAGAGGAGGTGCCCTCCTGCAGGCTGGGACTGAGCCGCACTCTGGGACAAAGCCTCAAGCTAGGCAAATGCAAGGTCACAACTTGGGGGGATGTTGCAGACCCCATCTGTCCAAAATCTAGACGTAGCCCGAGTTTGCCCACTGGCAAAGGGCTCTTGTTTTGTGTGTTCAGTGAGAACTTTGTTCCTGAATGTCATGTTCAAGGGCTTCCTTACAGACATCAAACAGACTTTCCTTTCTGTGCAGTTACCATACATGACCTTGGAAAGGAAATGTTCTAGGATGTCTTAAAATAAGGCTTTAAGTATTACTGCAAACAGCAGTAAGGTAGTGGCCTTACATACCAAAGTCAAATAAGGCAGCAAAACCAGAAGTATTTTAAACAGGAAAATGAGTAGAAGGAAGAATTTGTCTAATTTTGATCTAATCAAGAGGCACTGAAGCACACATATAGAGACTCAATTCTTTATATGACTTTTAGAAAGCCTAAGACTTTTAGCAAAAATCTAAAAAATATAAATTTTGATAAAAAGCGTTCTTGTATGCCTGCTAGGCTGCATCAATTAGAAATACATTTTGGCTATGAATAAGTAGTAGCTGTGTCACTGAGGAACTATTTTCTCTCCATAATTTATGTGCTGATGCCAACAACTTCAGGCCTGAGAGGGCAGGATACCTGATGACAAAGCATTTTTGGACTCTTCCCTGTCTGGCCAGGAATTGAATTGCTGACTTTCAGAGTAGGTAGCAAAGCTAATTTTGCTGAGGTTTTAACTGAAGTAGTAGAGAGAGGAGACAGTTGTTCATGGCTTGACTGACTGAAGATCATCTTTGGGAAGAACAGCCAAATCTTTGCAGAATAAATCCTTTTCTGTTCTTTTAATGTGCGCACAATCTAATTTCTAGAGACAGAAATACTGAGTATATTGAAATGATCTAAGGAAAAGCATGGAAAAAGAATTCATTTTTGTGTATAGGTGAAGAGCAAATTACACAGGCAACTAATTAATCTTCTAAGTTGTGAGATGGAAGTATTTAGGTTTTTACATTTACCATAGCTGCTAACTGGAGTGTACAGCAGACATGTTGAAAAGTGTGCAATGCCATCAGTACCATAATTCAGATGTTTTGTAATGACATGCATGCAGTTAAATTAAACTATATAATCTGTATCTTTTGAAAATAAATGAAATTATGATTAATCTAGAAAACTAACATCCAGCTTTAGTCTTGCTGTGCATTGCTGGCTTTCCATCAAGAAACTCATTAAATGGAATTTAAAATACTTCAGGAAACACCCAGGTCTTAATCCAGGCTTGGGCATACACAATGAGCTTCCACCAACTTAACAGGAGGTAACTGTGTGCCCATACAATTGGTCTGGTTGCTCTGTGTTTGGAGTCTAGCAGTTTGCAAGCAGCCAAGACAAATTTCATCAAACAATACTGAAAACCAGCAATCTTTTCTATAACGATAAATAATACATGAAAATGCAGCCTCAGGAGCTTAGGAAGGACTTATTGATGGTTCCCCTTCTGAGTAATGCACAGATACAGGGAACGCTGATGAGACTGCTCATTGTTCAAAGCCGTGGTTTCAAACATTTTGGAGTCTAAGGCCATATGAAATGGCGAACAATATTTTAATGAAGTGAGTTACTGGATATAGCAAAGGTGGAAACATGTTGAAATAACTGCTGAAGAGATGGATATTTAAGAGAGTTTAAAATTAAATCACCTCTAATCATCGCAGGGGATATCTTCCCAAGCACATGGGGTAATAAACCACACAATTCCCAATGAAAGCACAAGCACAGAACTTGGTGAGTTTAACTCTGTTTGCTTTTGAAATTTTTCTACAGTGGTTTTTTTTTTTTTTTTCTAATTTCCAGATATGCCAATGACACTAAACTTTCCATACACTGATATCGTTGTCATATCAACATCTGCCTAGAAAAAAACAATTAATATGAATATGTGGATCATAGCAAGTGCTTAGAAGATTGCAACAAGCAGAGTAATTAGATAATTCTTGGCTGCTTATATATCTGTATTAGTGATGTCTATAGCTGCATTATTTGTATCCATCTGTCTATATAGCCATAATTCAATGTGTTTCTATTGGAGGGATAACATCAAGAATGGAGCCAAAATAAATATATTAAGTGGTATTATTTCATTGTTTATAATTGCATTATCACAAAACTGGAAGCTGAAATATTGTGCTGGAGTATTTTACAGAAAGAAAAGAAAAATCCAAATCCTCCCCCTACCCCCAAGACTTCCAAAAGCTGCATTTTAACTGATGAACTGTATAAATCTCCAGCAACATTGTGATTTTTGTTTCAGTAGTTTCTCCAGGGATTCATCATTGATGAATTTGTTCTCACCAGAAAAGCTAAATCCTACTCATTTAAAGATAACAGTATCTTCCACTAAAACTGTCTCTATCCAGATATAAAAAAGCATTACCCTGCCAATAGAGAACTGACAACATAATGAATCAACAATGAAACCTTAAGCTGGGAGAGCTTTAAGGTGAATAAGTCTGTTTTGATTATAATTTATTCATGGATCAATCTAAAGGTAATTGAGCATATTATGAACTAAAAAAAGGTGCTTGTTTCCTAATGGTAAGAAGTAGAGAGAATCCTCCACTTCAGATTGCTGCAATTTTTATAGGCACACCAGCAAGTAGCCTAACTGGTCAAACAGGCTAGTGAACAGGGCAGTGTAATATGCGTCAGACGACCCAGACTTTATTTCTAACTTTGAAACTGATCTGCTCCTTCTTCTGAGGAAGTCCACGTATGTCTCCATGATGTAGTCATGGGTTGCTTATTTAGAAGCTGTCTCCTACTAAGGGGCTGGATGCTATCTACTATTAGAAGACCCAGATTTCAGCTGGCACAGCGTATTGGGTTTGCGTGGCAAGGTTTTGGTAGTGAGGGGGCTCCAGGGGTGGCTTCTGTGAGAAACTACTAGAAACTTCCTGTACATCTGATAGAGCCAATGCCAGCCAGCTCCAAGATGGACCTGCTGCTGGCCAAGGCCAAGCCCATCAACGACGGTAGCAGGGGAAGAAGGGGGAAAAGTTACTTTGCAGCAGCAATTGCAGCCGGAGAGAGGAGTGAGAGTATGTGAGAGAAACAACTCTGCAGACACCAAGGTCAGTGAAGAAGGAAGGGGAGGAGGTGCTCCAGGTGCTGGAGAAGAGATTCCCATGCAACCTGTGGTGAAGACCATGGTGAGGCAGGCTGTCCCCCTGCAGCCCACGGAGGTTAACGGTGGAGCAGATATCCACCTGCAGCCCATGGAGGACCCCATGCCAAAGCAGGTGGATGCTCAAAGGAGGCTGGGATGCCATGGGAAACCCTCGCTGGGGCAGGATCCTGGCAGGACCTGTGGACTGGTGGAGAGAGAAGACTACTACTACTCTGGAGTAGTCTGTTCCTGAAGGACTGCACCCTGTGAAAGGGGTTTGTTTGTCTATGAGGATGCTATGGGAGACAGTGTTGAAAGCCTTGCTAAAGATAACACCTACTGCTCTCCTACCATCTACCAAGTTAGTCATCTCATTGTAGTAGGCTATTGAGT